GGCGCGGCTCGTCTGAGCGCGCCCGCCTGCAGGCGGTGGGCTCCGGTGGTCCCAGGGAACGGGGTAGGGGGCAGCGGTGGGCCGTGTTCCTCTGTGTCCGGCTGATTCACTGAGGGCTGTTGCTCCCCCTCCCCCTGCTCCCGCTCGAGCTGGGACACGCCCGCAGCGCACCGCCTGGGGCTGAGGGAGGACGAGACTGGGGTCAGGCGGACGGGCTCGGTTGGTCTGTTTTTAGCCGAATTATTATTTTCATTAGGGCGAGCACGAAGTTCTGTAGTAAATGTGCGAGTGCGCTGGGTGCTGTCTCCTGAGCGGGGCTTATCCTTGCTCGAGTAAAGGGTGAAAACGCAGGGAGGGTGGTGGGAGCGGGGCTGCTCCCCGGCGGTGCCGGCGGGGGGGGGGGGACGGGCGCGTGCGGGAGCGCCCTGGAAAGGCAAGGTGTCCTTGGCATCCCACTCCTGTTTTCCCCTGCCTTGCGGGTTAGTTCGTTACTGCTGCAGATAAGAGAGCGGAAGAGGGGAGGAGATGGGGGCAGGGGGAGCGGTGTTACAGAGTTACACGGGGAGATGCACTAAACCTACGCCGCGTAAACGAAGACGAACGACATTGGTGACCCGCAGCTTCGCGGGTTAGTGGAGCTGCTTTGACCCATTACCAGGACGAACTTCAGCTCTGTAGAAGTGTGCACGCGGCTTGGTATCAGTGGTGGGTTTTCAAGTGTGCGTAAACTAAATATTTAATTGTGTGCGTGAGAGAGACTAGTCCATATACTCATATAATTGCAGGCTGTGAAAAGTACAAAACCCGCAGTCACTGCAAACAGCTTTTGAGATATACACAGACAGAAAATGTTATATTTTGTTCATGGCATGGCAGGTTTACTGGATGAGAATGCTAACTAGACTTGTTGCAAAAGGTAGGTTAAGATTTTTGCAGCATCTTGGAACTCCATTTTCTTGCCTCATTTTCACACACCTTTCCTATTTTGTGCTATGTTTTCTGGTTTAAATAGAAAACTCAACCTAAAATATGACTTCAGTTATAACAGATCAATACTAGTGTTGATGGAACTGTAACAGGAAGCACCTTTTCTGGAAAGAAAAAAGTGCGACATAGTATTAAGAGAAATATCTCATTCTTCCTCTTATCTGGCAATTTGTCAGCACTTAGAGGACAAGCATATTGATACTGTGCAGTCTAGAGGAGATTACTGTACAGAAAACTACTTGCTTCCTTATCATGTTTGTAGGACTGTAGCACTGAGAATGAATGGGGAAGATCTAATGCCTTCATTCTCCTTTCCTTAACCAATTAAGTTTTCCTGAGTGTCTGACCTCTTCAGTTTCCAGATCTACAAGCTCCTTTATGTGTTTTCTGACCATTGTGAATGATGTTATGTAAAAAAAAGTATTGTAGTCTTCAGTGGTAATTAGCAGGTTCTTTTCCTGTTGTAAGCATATCGATATACTGATATAAACTAATAATTGATAGTTTATAATAGCACAGGTGATAGTGTAGGTAAGTATGATGTGGATCTCTATTAGTTTAGAAAATATAACTTTACACAGGTATCGGGCTCTGTCATAGCTGTGACTTGGTTTGAAAGAGAAGTTAATCTGAGGGCTCTTCAAAATTTTGGGGTGTTACAGCCTTGATTCAACAGCCTCTTCCAGGAAGAAAACATTGGTTTTGGTTAAAGAAAAGTGTAACATCAAACAACTGAGACTTTTTAGCACTGAGAACCAGAATAGAAACTACTAAGTTGTGCAAGGTAAGTACACCCCTTTTTTTTCTCCTCGATACACTTTGAGATACACTTTGTTTCCTTCATTTGCTTGCGGTCCTTCTCTTTGAAAACTTGTTTGGCGTTGGCGGTGCCTTTGCGGCCCGCGTAGAAAAGCCTGGAGATGTTGGGGGTGCCGGTAGCCCGGGGCGGGGCTGCCCCCGCCGGGGGGGGGGGCTCCCCCCGCCGCAGGCCTGGCTGTTGTTGGCTTGCGCGGCGCTGCGGCGGCGCGACCTTTCACCCACTTCTCGGGAGTGGTCACGTGAGCAGGCCCGGAGAGGGGAGGAGCGCCTGGGGGAGGGGGTGCGCCCCACAGGGGCCTCCCCACGGAGCTCGGCAGGGAGGATGTTTGTGTTTGCTGCATGCAGGGGTAGCGGAATGTTGAATCCCCAGCATGACTGGTTCTGGAAAGTCTTGGGTAAAAGGCGACTTAAATGAATGCCGGTACTTAAAAACGCCCCAAACCTGTATTTTTTTTTTCTTTTTAATATTGCAAAACCATTGTCCTGCAGCATACTGTATCATAGCCCTGAACACCACAAGTTCAGAAAAACAAGATCTAAATGACTGAAAAGCAACCCCCTTTTTCCAAGTCTGCATTAACTTTATTTTGCATGGTCAATTTAAATATTTGTAAAACGGAACTGGTTCTTCAGTCTTTCAACCTTGTACAGTAAATAATCGTTGAACTACTGCGAGAGCAATCCATTCAGTTTGCCTTTGGTCACCAAACATTGTTGTCCATCTTCCAGGATCTTCAAAGTCCTGAAATGTAACATGTTGCATGTCTTGTAAAAGTTTTGCCATTCCAGAAATATTTGTTGTTATAGAGAAGATAATAATTCTTCTTTCCTACATGAGCATAGAAGCTCATTAGTGCAAAGGGAGAGAGAAGGGATAAAACTCATATAATCTAAATGCCTAGGTATGTCTTTTTATGGCAATATTAAAAAGAAATACCCAGATCCTTGAGCCTGTTTTTGGGGGGTGGTGGAGGTTTCTGCATGGTATAACAACTGTGCAGTGGTTTAGTTTTGTATGTTTATCTCTTACTCAGCAAGATTATTCTCAATTTCTAGAAGGTCAGAGGAGGTAGCTTGCTGGGATGTGTACAATAAAACATCTATCAGAATAGAGACTAGAATAATCTAAAAGGTCTAGGAACAGTATAGTATGTCCTACACTGTATAGGAAAAAAAAACCTGTAAAGAATATGACAGTTGTAAAAGTTTCTGTTTTGATTACAGTTGTGGAGCATGTCAGTGGTTTTGGTTGGGTTTTTTTTTCCTTTTTCCTGAAGTTTACATTTTGGAACCATCTTTTACAGGAGCTTGCTATTTGGGAAGAAGAGAGAGGCCATATGATCCAGAAACTGTAGGGATTAATATTCCTTAGTGTTAGCCTAGTAATTAACACATTATCTGCTATAGCCAGTCTCCTCTACTTCTTTGCTTGACTGTCTTGAGTTTGATCAGGTGAGAAGACAACTTACTATCTGTGGCTTTTCTCCGAAAGTGCCAGTGAAAACAGTCTGTTCTGTGAACATCTCTCCAAGAAATCTTGACAGCATCTGTGTTGACTCTAATGGGAGTTTAAAGCCTGCACGGAAACACTTGGATGTCTTAAACTGAAAGCAGAAGCTAGCGTTGGAGTCTAGCCCCTGACATCACCTTGCTTATCGCACTAGCTAGCAATCACTAATTTGAGCCCTCAGAAATGACTGAGTGGGTAGCAGATGAACTTTCTTTCACCCCACAGCTCCTCACCATCTCAGACCTGTTAAATGAGACAGACTGATCCAGATAATGCAGTCATCCAATGTAATGGAAAACAGTGTTTCAGAACTGCTGTTTGTGACTATTCTCTCCATTGCTATCAGTTTTTCTCAAATGCTTCCAGTCTGATCCAGTCCTTCTGAGCGGTAGAAAGCTGTGTGAATCAAAGCTCAAATTGTTTTCCTTGACTTTCTATTTCAGAGCTACAACTGTTTGCCATTGCTGTAGTGTAATGTCTATTAGGACCTAGCAGCATTGGAATGAATCTGCCTCTCGGTATGTCCTAACCTATTCAAGATCCCAGCTGCCGTGAGCTTCTGTGACAAAAGGTTTCTGTGTGACAAATAGAACTCAAGTCTGCTTTTAAGGAAGACAGCTGTTCAGGTATGCTTACATTTCATTCATTGGTCTGTTTATTACTATCTCTTCCCTTCCATATATGTCCGTTGCTCCAGTTTAACACTTGGGAAGGGGGTAAAGAAATTGGCCCAAGATTCCAAAGGAGATGCCTGCAGAGGGTAGCTAATATTCACCCACAGGTGATCTTGGAAAACAGCTGAAGACAGGACACAAGCTGATAGGTTTGTCAGTGGGACAGCAAGTTACTGCAAACTCCTTAGCTGTTCTGATTTCAAACTGTCTGCTGTGGGTGAGGTTTGCAGTAGGTCCCAGTGTTGCTGTACCTGGGCAAATACATGTATTCACTTCTCCACCTTGGCTTGAACCACAGTATTTGGTAATTTTTTAGGTGTGAGAAATCCTTTAAGATCTTTGCAATTCCAAGGGACCACAGCTGTCAGCTATAGGGGAGGGTGGGAAGGATTGGAGCCAATGATTAGCAATAAGCAAAGATGAGGACTTGAAATTTACATGTCAAAAGATGGCTGTTGGAGGAGAAACTTCTGTCACTTTCCAAGTGACTTAAGCTACTTCAGTCATGGCATTGTAATTTTACTTTGGGGCCCCTATGAGAGAGAACTGCTGCATAAAGAACAGATTCAGCTTTTAGGAGGCTTAATATGGTTTTAACATGTGCCAGTCACAACTGAAGTGGCATGAGAGAACCTGTCAGTTTAACTTTGTTTTTGTCAGATCAAATGATAATTGATTGAGTGCTATGTTAATTCAAGTTTTAAAGGAGAGTGATTCTTTGGTTTCTGTTTCATTTCTATGCCATAGTAATTAGGTTCACCTGAGAAGCCCTGTTGAGTGAATTTAATCCACATGACTATTGCACAGAAATGGTTTGGCTTCACTCCCCTCAGATTTCTCTTAATGATTTTGTGTCTGTAGAATATGATTAATCATTGTGAGGTAGGTGAGTTATTGTTATCAGAGTCTTTTTATATGCTGAAGCATGATTAGATATTATTGAAGGTTAGTATACAAGGAAGCTATTTAGAAATAGAAATTCTCAAGTGAATAACAGTGTCTGGTTAATCTTTATAGTAAGTTCAGCACCTTGTGGAATATCACATGAACTATGAATAAGCTCTCTACTCTTTCTGAGGCTTTGATATCGTGTTACCTTTTTGCAGAAGTATAGTATACAGTGCAAGAAAGTGGCATTAGGTAGCAGAATACCCAAGAAACAGATACAAGAGAGACCAGACAGTCTTTTTGGTCATATGTTTAAATGTTTGAGCTGTATATTTTATACTCTTTACTGAATATTTTATCGATCAAAACTGAAATTTCCTTTGGAAGGCATAAAACTCTAGACAACTTTGATCTTTCTTTGGATTTCTGTTAAACTGAATGCTTTTTCTTTAGCTTTAGTTTTAACTTTGTTCAACTGTGCATCAAAGGAGCACCAGATGCACATGAGTAAAAGCATTTTTGGCATTCTCTGGTTAGCTGTCTTACTTAATTGACCTTCTGGCATTATGGCAGAATTTTGGTATTTATGTCAGATAGTGGTAGGGATGCAGTCACTCAAGAGCGGATGGGACCTTGAGTTACTGAGTCAGTGCTGGATGCTGCTGTACAGCATATTCTTTAGTGTTTGAAACTATTGCATTTATAGCAAACTCCATGAAAACACTTGACTGAAGTCACATCGGTTTTGTTATTGATAATACAGGATTTCTTAATTTGATAGGAAGAGTCAGTGTTTCCTCTAGATAGGTATATACATTTACCATTAAATTCTAAGGGTTTATTTTTTTTATTAGGAGTTTATACTGTTTCCCACCATATCACTGCAGTATACATGGCACTTAAGGTCAGCTCCAGAAATCTACCTGCTGCCTTAAGACTAGCCAACTCTCATTGGACAATGTAGCGGTGTTTAAAATACCAACATACATTTAAAAATCTTGTATAATGATGTGCTGGTGATTTTTACTGAGGACAAAGTTACTGGAATAATGTTGAAAAACTTGGATGAATCATTGTCTGAAAAGTTAATGCAAAATCTCTGTAAAAATTCTACTGCAAAATCCAGCTTCTTTTTATCCTCCAAACTAATAGTACATTTTTGTCAGTTGCAGAAAACTTGCTGGTTTTGAATATTTGACTGCTTCTACCAACTTGACTTCCAAAGTGTGCTGTTCATTTAAAGCAACTGAAGCACACAATTTCTTGTTCAGGCCTTAGTGTTCTAAAGTAAGTTTATTTTTTGAAGCAGATCTATTGTAAAACCCCCTGCCTTAAATTTCATAAAGCATCTCTGCTAGGTATATGGTTAAAACTATATAAAAAAATAGGATTGATACTTCAAGCCCTTAATCCTCTTAGTGGCTCTTCACTGGACTCTCTCCAGTAGTTTCATTTCTCTCTTTTACTGGGGAGTCCAGAACTAGCCACAGTATTCGAGATGGGGCCTCCACCAGTGCTCAGTAGAAGGGAAGAGTCATCTTCATCAGCCTGGTGGCAACACTCCTCCTAATGTACCCCAGGATTCTGTTAGCTGCCTTTGCTGCCAAGGGCACCTTGCTGGCTTGTGTGCAACTTGCTGCAAAGTTGTTTTCCAGCCAGTCAGTCTCCAGTGTGTACTAGTGTATGGGGTTACTCCATCCTGGGTACAGGACTTTGCGCTTCTCTTTGTTGAGCTGAATAAGGTTTCCGCCTGCCCATTTCTCCAGCCTGTCGAGGTTCATCTGGATGGCAGTGAAATCCTCTGGTCTGTTGGCCACTATTTCCAGTTTCAGTCCCTGTACTTGTAAATACATCTGCAGTTTGGTTCTTTTTTAATTTGGTTTTTTTTTTCTGTCTTCAACCTTTTAAATAGGTTTGACAGCTACTACTTTTGCATTAAACATATGGAAGGGTGTCAAATTGATAGACTTCAGAACCTCTGCAGAATTCAGACAGGTGAAGACATTCTTGATGAATGTTACAAAGAGAGCTACACTTATAAAAAGTTTCTTTTGGAAGACTAACCCTTTACATTTGTGTAAGAAGAGATCCTGCTGCGTGATGTTAAGTATTTGATACACTTTTTGGATTGGAGGACCTTGTTTGCACGAGTCTTTTTCAACAAAACCAAAAAAACTCCAGCAACCTTGATTATCCGTAGATTGCATCCACTTCTGGGATGGCTGTATAGATCAGTGTTGCTGTTAAACTGTAGTTAGTGGTGAAGTGTGGAAGTAAATTAACATGCTAGCAAGCTATTTTAGGATGTTGGCACTGGCTTTGTTGTCCTTCACTACATATCATTTCATTGCAAGCACACTATCTAGGCAAAGTCAGCTGCCATAGGGTAGTCTGAGTTACTTTGTGTAGGTGGTACTGAAGGCTTGGACTGATGGGAGCATCAATTACAAAATCTGAAGAGAAATTTGGAGTACTGCATGAAGAGACTTGGAGGGAGATCTCTGTGTTTGGAATTCTCTTGCTTTTATTTTAGTATCTGGTATGAAATCAACAGATTGAGCATAAACAGTTTTTCATTGATTTTATAAAGCAAAATGCATTCATAGTTCTGGCTTTCTAGGAGAGCAGAAAATGCAAATTTTTATAGTAATAGCTTAAAGAGGTGAGAGAAAATACTTGATCACCGTCTCAGCACAAACACTACTCAGGTGTTCTAGTGTTTTAATACTGGCTCTGATTTCATTAGGTCTGTCCTCAGTCTCTTGGAATTCAGTGATCTATCCTAAAGTGTCAAAATATGTTAACAAATGAACATACAATTGAAACTTTTTGGATGTGTGTTTTCTTCCAAAAGCTGTAGCAAGCTCATCGCCTGAAGGAGGATCTGATGTGTGGACAATAAAATACTGGATAAAACTTCTTCAATGTTTTCAATATTTAAACAAGTTTCAGAGTTGAAGTCTTTTAAAAGAACTTGTGAGAGCTCCAGAATTTTTTTCTCCTGTTCTGTATGACTGTTTGTAACATTCAAACAGTAACTCTTATTGCTTTGCATGTTGATAGAAATTGAATTTTTTCCCCCTATTTTTAATTTGAAATAAACTGTTTTGGGGACAAAGACATTGGGACACTTGCTTGGTTTCCCAAGACCTTCTGAGTTCAAGTTGTCTAGCTTTAAATGGAAATCTTAATATAGTTCTAAGTATGTTTTGTAACTAAAATTTGGTTTAATGTACTTTCAACTGATATCTCTCACCACTTCCCATCTTGAAAAATTCCTTAAACAATGTAATTGGAAATGATTTAGTATCACTCTTTTTTTTCCTCACCAGTCTCTACTCCTATCTGAAACCTAAGCACTAAGCTAAATTTTGAAGTTGTAAGTTTATTTTCATAAAGGAATGAAGAATTCTTCGGGGTCAGGTTTGTGGTTGTTTGGGGTTGGTGTGTTTTTGTGGTGGTGGTTGGTTTTTGGGTTGGGGTTTTTTTTTTTTTTTTTACTTTTAAGCTTGCTAGTAGGAACTTGGCAGGAGCCAGAAGACATTATCTATGTGATAAGATGCTTCTCATTGCTTTATTGGTAGTACCTTGCATCTGCATGAAGTTATGAGGGCTTCCAGGTGCTTCTGAATTCAGAACTGCCATCATAGTTCAAGATGCAGCATGTTCTAGCTCTTAGCACAGGGACATGTAATGCTGCAAGTCTGCCCACCATCTATTAACAGCCTGTGGTTTGGGTACCAAAAATGTCTATTTGAGGGCTCTGACAGTATGAAACCTGTGTGGGGTGGTACATAGCAGTGTTCTCAGAGAAACTGTATGCAGCAGTCACTGCTTTTCCAAGAAAACTGTCAGCCTTTGATTGTCAAAGTAGAATTTGTTTTGTGGGCTTAGTTTGGTTACTGACAGGTGTATGCCCTGTATATAAAAGCTAATCTACAAATAGATGTCAAAAATCTGTGAGGAGAGCCTCAAACTAAATTGTTGAGGTAGCTTGCAAGTGAAAGTCATAGAATTAAGTCTTTCACCAAGGTTTTAGCTATTCTGGGCCATGACCTTTCTCTCCAGTTCTCCTCTGCATTTGTGAACTTGCTTCCTTTGCAGGAAAACGAGCTATAGATGTGAAAGCTACATTTAAATAATGTATCTCTTTCCAGTGGATATTTGGACTCCTGCCAAGGAGAAATGGCAGGGTTTTCTCTATTCCAAGAGGAATAGGAAATGGGGGAAAAAATGGATTGCCTGAGTCGAGCAATGTACGGGAAGTAAGTGGCTGAGTTCTGAGAGAAGAGGTGACACGGATATCTCCTTAAAGCAGAACAGTTGCTTTTTGTGAGGTAGAGGTGGTGACTTTACTTTTTTTAGTGCTATCATTTATCCATATAATGCTTATAACACCTACAGAAACATAGAAAGGTTCATACTCAATAGCATTTCCAAAAGTAACTGCTTCAGGAATTAATACTTTTTGTGCAATGTACTGTAATACATTTACCTTTTGTATCATGGTTCGGTGCTTTTTAAGATGCACATGGTAATTCTTTCACTGTCTTTCAGACATTCTGTGTTCTGTGTTGTATGCTTCAGAGAGACGTTATCAACCACAAGTGACTTCTTGTATGCCTGACTAAATGGAAGCATCCTGCACATCCTCTTTTAGCATTAGATTTTCCAGAGCTGAGGCCCTCATCTCCTTCTGTGGCTGTAGGAACATGTAAGCCCTAATACAGAGTTGACTGTTCAGTGTCTGTGACCTGAAATCATAAGGTCTGAGTTAAACCTCAGTCTTTGTAGTGTAAATATCCTGAAACTGCAAAAACAGCAGTTTGAGGAGGCTTTATGCATAGTAGGCATAGCAGCATAGTTTTTCAGACCATCAGGTCTGTCGGGGCTTAGGCTTTCTGGTGTGCTATGTGTTTTCTTGACTTAAAAGGGACATCCAACCTAGCAGTACTTGTTTATAACAGTGGAAAAAAAATTGTGGTAAGTTTTGATTGGCTCAAGCAGACGTATGAAAAGAGAAGAGGAGAAATGTCTGCAGTTGTTACAGAATGTTTAAATTGAAGTAAATCCAGAAGAGAGCAAGGAACAGGCAGCTTTCTCCTTTAATTAAAAACAAACAAACAAAGAAAATGAAACCAAGTTTTAAGGGGCGAGTGTGCTTTTTAAGATACACTTATATTATGAAAGAACACCGAAAGGAATGAAAATAGCCATTTCAGATTACCTTTAGAAATTGTGTTCTTCTTTCCCCAAGTAAGACTTGGCCAAACGGCTAAGAAAGTCAAAAAGCTCTTGTTTATGGCTCTCTGTTGGGAATGAGGTTAATTAGTATATGCTGTACAGAAGCATTTTGCTAACCAAAATGCCTGAAGTTAGAAGTATTGTTTCAGTGTTAGTTAGCTCATTGATGTGGGTGCTGCCTTACTAACATTGCAAGTCAAGTTCATAAGTCTAACGCATGCTCCTCTGGCCTGTGCCCTTTTACCTACTTTGCTAGCAAGCATGTGACAGCAGAGGAATGCAAAGGAGGGGAAGTGTACAGCAGCTTATGATTAAATTGGCCTTTAAGGAGGAAAAGTAGTGTTCAAAGAAAGGGACTTGAGGAAGTCTTTGGTGTTCAGCCATCATAATTCAGAACGGTCTTAAAGGCTTACAGTTTTCTTAAGTAAAGGAAAAGGATATGAAAAGAAACAAGCTATTTGATTGTTTCACATCTTAGAGTCAAGTAATACAGTCCTAGAACTAGACTTGTCTTTGTTTTCAGGGCTTGTTTACTTGATTCAGGATTAATTCTTGCTGGATTAATATTTCTTCACTTGGGAACAAGGAATATTTTCCTTAATGAAGCTTATTTAATTTTATGCTCATGCTAAGTTTTAATTCATTAAAGTATTGGGTTTACTGTTTATGGTTAATGCTATTTATAATCTTTTTCTGCCTTGGACAGTAGAAATGCATGTGCCTAAAAAGGGAAGGGTTCCCGAAATTCTTTTTCTTCAGAAACAGAGAGGAGGATAGTTACAAATTCCCAGGCTAAGAAGTCACAGGGGAGTTGAAGGGTAATAGAAACTAGCTGATCTGGTACGTAAGACATTGGCATTCAAGAATACAAAATTCCATGAGTAAACTGGAGAGCCTGTTGGCCCTTCTTGAGACAAATCTAGGTGGCTGATACTCCGTATGGGGATATGGTTGGTTTTGTTTTCATCCCAGTCTTAATAGTACTGCTAAACGTATGATGAATTCTTAACTTTGAGTACTTTCCCCTTTTGCAAACCCTCTTGAGTCCAGGGTATACCATGTATTACTGCTGCCTGTCTCTGTTTTATTGCTGTCTTGCAGTGTTGGTCTCTACATCTAACTCATGATGCACAATTTAAATGAATGAATGGACAGCTGACTTTGACTTCCTGATACTTGTCTACAGCAAGGCCACTCTGAATAAGCAGTTGTTAGTGACAGTCATTAAGTACTACAAATTGAGCTGTTAGCATACAGGGCTTGTCTTAAAGGTTTCGAAACTGGTGTTCAAAGCTGATTTGGTTTCTTTGTTGTCTTAATCAGACACTGTACATGCGTAGATCAAATTGTGTACTATCTGTATGACACTGTAAGCTTTAGCTACCCTTCTGGAAACCCAGAAGCCTGATTCACCCAGGACTCAGCCTCTAAAACTTGAGCAGTGCTGATGGATTTTGGAGATCTGTGAATTGCCATCAGCCACTGTAGCAGTAGTTGTATTGCAGAGGTTGATCATTGCAGGCTGCTCTAGGGACAGGCACTTTAAATATTGCAAACAGTCACTACCTATTGGTCAGCAATCTTACTAGAGGCTGCGCAACAGCACTTATCTTGTTCATTTCTGCCTAATGCTCCTTCTCTTCCTATATTGTGTATTTATTTCCTAAGCCTACTATTACTGCAGAACTCCCAGTGCTTACATTCCCTTGTTGTCTACTCATACACCTTTGCACTCCTTCTTTGTGCTCCAGATGACTTTGCCATAGTAGACTATGTCAGACTAGAATATCATTACAGACTAGAGGAGCAGCACTACAGTCATAATAAGCTGCTTTTGAAGTGCCCAGCTAAATGTCGCTGGTTAGCCCTCACATGCTGTTGAACAGGGGATGAATGTTTACCAGAATTTAAGTTTAATTACAAAGTCTAAGCTTCAGGTTTGCAAAAGAAATGTAAATTTCAGTGTTTAGGATTCAAAAGATGTGAAGTAGTTGAACTTTCTTTTGATTTTTGCTTAAATAGAAATGCCAGTGCCACCTTAAAACACTTGGTATTGATAACATTGTGTTTTGTACCAGTAAAAATGTGAAATTACAACTTGCCCTTGAATCCTGACCTACAGGTGGGATTATGGATTCCTCTACTTTTTGCCATACTTCTAAGAGGATGTTGTTTTTAGGATTATACACAGAAGTTTTGGTAAGCTAATAAATGAATGTGGATGAAAGACTTTGGAATCACAGTGGTCTCCTCAGGAATATATAGTTTGGACCATTTCAGTGGTATACATAGAGCCTGTCTGCAGAAATCTGTGTTCTGATTGTAAGTGCTCAAACAACGTTACTTTGAATTAATGAGGAGTTGGGGTAACTTCCAGGATATTTATGTAGAAATGCTGGTTAGGAAAGAAAGAAGCTATGAAGATGAGCTGATAAATAAGAGCATACAGTTTGATTCGAATTGGCTGTATCCTCAGACAGGGTTGAGACATAAATATGTAAACAGAATCACAGTTACATTTCTTTTTTAACTTCCAGTGGTTTTTATTTGAGCCTGTTATGCCTGCCCATTATGATGATCTTTTGTCTATATTGGCATCATTATTGATATTTGTTTAGGCAGTTAAGCTGAGGTGCAGTTCTATTCAATTTTCTGGTGAAGGTAATTTTCCTGACAGTTGTGATTTGGTTTCCTCAACTCTGCATAGTTTTGATTTTGCATTTGTTTGCCAGTCAGAACTCAGAGCCACAGGGGCTGCAGTGTTTAATTGCTGTGACTAATCAGCTTGAAATTAAGATATGAAAAAAATTTTAGAGGAAGTTACAGCCAGAAGCAGCTTTGTTTTACTAGCTGGTGTGAAGACTTTAAATACCTTTTGTTTCAAAATGATAAAAAAATAAAAACACCACACCACATTTTCTAAATCTCCTTTATCGTTACAGGGTGAGAACCTGTGTACTTGCGATACCTTTTTTTTTTAAATATTATGGCTTTAATTTTCTGCTGTGCTCTGATTTTTTTATATATTGCATGTATGCACGATATTCAGCTTGCTGCAATCCTGCCAAAAGGCCTAAGTTACATGAGAGTGTTTTGCTTACATTTTCAGCTGTTGTGGTTAGAAGAGGTACCTTAATTGACATACTGGATGCTTAGAGTGAAGTGCAAGCATAGCCTGTAAGGAAGAGACAAGTACTGTATGTAAACCTGGCATACTTTGAAATATTTTCCAAAATTACTGTGTAGAAGAGATTTTGCTAGAAATGGACTAGCTCCTAGTTCTTTTGAACAAAAAGGAAATACTTTTTTAACTTTTCTTTTTGACAGAACTCTCTCTGAAAATGGCAGAAGCTCATCAAGCAGTAGCTTTTCAATTTACAGTAACTCCAGATGGGATTGACCTGCAAATGAGTCATGAGGCACTCAAACAAATTTACCTATCTGGTGTCCATTCATGGAAGAAAAAGTTCATCAGATTCAAGGTATTTTAAATTAGTCAAGTCCACCAACCTTGAGGGTTATTTAATGTTTTATAGGTTTATTGAAATTTTGGTTAGGTAAGACTTAATTCTTTTTCCTTTATGGCAAATAAAGTTCCTTATTGTTCAAGACTTGTGTGGGTATTAGTGGAGACAAGGGATACTGAGGAAGGTAGCACTGGGTGATGCTGTAAAGACTGAAAGGGTATACATCTTTTTGATTTATTCTATGGAAGCAAGATAAAATGTAGAAATTAACAGCAGCTTTAATTTGCTTCATTCTCTTCATGGCACATCATGTAATTATGTAATCTTATGACTTATGTAAGTCAGAAATATAACTAGTTGTGATTTTTAGTGTCATATCACTTAGAGGTACAAGACTACACTCTTCATTATACGTATTCTTTGCCAAAATTACATTTGCAAATTAAGGACAGTGTTTGCTGTTTTCAAAAAGTTACCTTAATATCTATTTTGTACAAGTTATGCTAAGTAGTAATGTTTCTGATGAGGTATTTGATACAAATTGATATAGATTGATTGATTTGATATAGATTGCTGTGAATTTATTGTTTTGTTCATGGGATCATAAATGTTAAGTATCTATTTTATTAGTAGCAGACTAGATAAGCTACATGCTATCTATTTTGTACAAGTTATGCTAAGTAGTAATGTTTCTGATGAGGTATTTGATACAAATTGATATAGATTGATTGATTTGATATAGATTGCTGTGAATTTATTGTTTTGTTCATGGGATCATAAATGTTAAGTATCTATTTTATTAGTAGCAGACTAGATAAGCTACATGCTATCTTCAACACCTCTTTCAAAAACATATTTTTAACAGTAGTCTTAAAATTTTCTTTAAAGCTATGAGAAGGACTGTTTAAATGATATATAAAACAACCCCTTGATTCTGGTTTTCAGTGTCTTGTTCAGTACAATATTTTTGCTGTGTATTCATTTAGAGGGGCCTAACTCAGTGTAAGTGGGAATTATTGAAGTATCACTTTGGAACAAATGACTTTCTAATTTCAGAATTTTTAGTAAGACTTGCAGCAGGATCAAATATTGTCTACAAAAGAACTTAAAATTTCCTTTAATTCTTGATATCATTGTGACAATTTTCTGTAGCAGTCATGCTTAACTAAATCTATTCGCTACTCCCGAGTTAAGCATATGTAAGAAAATGTTGCATAATCTTAACTTCTTGTTTAAAACTTTTTTAAAACTAAAATCACTTAAATGTGTTGATTTTTGTTTCTTTCCATGGTAATATGAAGTCAACCACTTTGGTATGAAAAAATTATGTGAAGGCTTTTCTTTCCAGAATGGAATTATCACTGGAGTTTATCCTGCTAGCCCATCTAGCTGGCTTATTGTAGTTGTGGGTGTGATGTCAACAATGTATGCCAAAATTGATCCTTCTTTAGGAATAATAGCTAAAATCAACCGAACACTTGATACAACGTAAGTAGACTGAGAAGTTACTGTTCTTCTAAAGGAAATTGGTTCTATTTGTAGCTACTCTTAAAGCTAATCCTGTTAAAGTGTATCAGTTTTTGAACAGTATGTTTGTGATGAAGAAAGCCCAGTAAGCAGATGTATGAGGGCTGTTAGGTAGGTTGTTGTACCGGTATTACTACATTGTTTTCTGAGTATTTGGGAAGCACATCTGACAATTTCTGTGGCCTTTGATATGGCTGCATGAGAGGGTGTTTTGGAAAGGAGTTTATGGAAAAGGGCTAAACAGGCACAAAGCTTGTGTGATGCCTGCATATAGTACCATTAGACTTAGGTTTGCAATATTAGGTTCTCTTTAGAACTTAAACTGACATTAACTGGCACATGCTGGCTTTTGTTTTAAATAGTGGCTATATGTCAAACCAAACACAGAACATCGTGAGTGGAATACTTTTTGGCACAGGGCTTTGGGTTGCCCTTATTGTCACAATGCGCTACTCTCTAAAAATGCTGCTTTCCTATCATGGTTGGATGTTCGCTGAACATGGCAAACTTTCCGCAGGCACCAAGTTTTGGATGGTAAGGATATATTGTCTTCCTGTTTCATTTTAACTTCTATCTGATCTGTATTCAAAGCCCAAAAAGAGAAAACTTTGTAGGTTTTTCTTGCTTGTGTTTTCTGTGTCATGGGACAGGAGGCTGTTAGGTAGATATTTCTACTAACTACTGTCATCCTTCTGATGCTATAATTAAACTATTCAGGATGGTCTTGTGGAAGGAAGAGTAAATACTTCAAGAATAACTTCTAAATTTGCCAATGGTTTGGGACTGTGTGACTCAAATATCTACTTTTTCTCTATGTGCAAGTAGAGCTTAAAGAACTTGGGCTGCAGCACCAAAGAATCTTGTCCTCCCCAGAAAGTGCTTTGAAGTTCTTTGTTGAAATGTTAGGATTTCTAGTCATCCATTCTAAAATTAATCTTATGCTTGAAGAAAAGAATATTGAATGTCCTTTCAGTTGATTTAGTGGTATGCATCCAAAAGGAGTTGGAGAAAAAGCGTAAGGTGGGTAGCTTGTTACGCAGTTTTTGCATAAGGCTAAGATGAGAGTGATCTGGCTCCTGTTGATTATTGTGGTGCTTTGGAAAAGGATTATTGAAGGATGTGATGGGTATAAAGTGAAGAAATGTACATATAGGTGCTCCAAGAGATGAAGTGGGTTTTTGTTACTTGGACTCAGTTGTTTCAACTCACTTTTGCCACTATTGTTGTAGAAATAACTTAAGTGCCCCACTATGATAAAATTAGTCTCTGCAGCCTCAAAAATTAACTGACATGTGTTAGACTAACAACATGTCATGATTTATTATGAAATATGTTTAGGAAAAGGTATCCAGAATGGTACACTAAAATAGAATTTAATGTTCATCTGTTACAAATGAAATTTCTAATTGATAGTTTCTTCCGGAAGCGGTATCAGGAGCCTCATGACTCGAATTTGTACAGTACAGGCTCTGAATGGTAAGGCTTTCTGTTGATTGCTTGAAGCTGTAGCTGTCTGGGTTTTCAGCATGTCCTACCAGATAGCTATTTTAAAGCTGTTAATATTGCCTTATCAACCTTAAACAGTATGAACTGTAATGCTACTTACCATGCTTTGTTGCATATTGTATTTATAAATTTGTCTATTTTATATGTTGCAAATCTATTTTGTTGTGTATTATATTTTGTTGTGCATTATAAATGTTTTAAAATACAGAACACTTTAGGTGTATGCCCAACAGTGTCTCATCTATACTTAATACGAAGCTCTATTTTAATACCTTATTCTTTCTTTAGCTAGTCCCAACAAAAGAAGACTGGTTTCCCTAATAAAACAGTACCAACTACCTTAGCTTTCTAGATTTTTATTATCCTTTAATATTGTATAATTTTCTGGAGGGGTCTTCCTGTCGTGTGTGGTTTTGTTTGTGGTCCCCTTTCCCCCCCCATTAACAGCATGAAAAATGCTATCATGAATACACTGTCTTCTGTTCAAATAGTCATGCAGATCAAAAACCTTAGGTCTGACTTCAGTCACAGTACAAAGTGATTTTCAGGCTGATTGGAAGTTTGGTGGCACTTTTAATGAACATATTTCATCTTCTAAAGTCAAATTTCCTGTACCAGGATTAGGGGAAAAGTCCAAGTATTAGTTGGTGTTTTAAAAAATAAGTTAAATAATAATGATCTGTGAACAGATGGAATGCATGCTAGAATGAGATCATTTGCTGTGTCTGCATATGAAATCAGAGATGTAATTAACTATGTGTCTGTCAGGTCACTTAATCGTCTTGAACTGTTATAAATTCTCTACTACAAGTTCACTTAAGAGATAAATATTGTGAAATGTGTTTGCTGTTTTTGTCAGTTGAGCAGGTACTCTCTGAAGATAATTTCAGCCTTTCCTAGCTTAAGAGTTCTGGAATAAAATTGTCTCCAAGTATGGAATTAGATTTTCTCATGAAAAGCTGAGCTTTTTTTCCTCACCTGGCTTCAAATTTATCTTGTCATGAAGCACTAGATTTCATTGGGATGATCCCTGTGGTGCATCCATGTACATCTGATGACTCTCTGATACAGATCTATTTGCAGGGAGGTCTTTGGTGGTAATACTCTGCAATTCTCCATAGTTTTGTGCTGCCTAAAACAATCTCCTCTAGCTATACTGACCAAGGAAATTGAGAGGGGGCAGAAAAACTCTACATTTTAATGAGTAGTTTTGTCAGTTTTGGGGGGGATAGAAGGGAGAAGTTCTAGGAATTTAGTAGTGAAATAACATCCTCTGTTTTCTTCTGTCTTTAATCTATTGGCCCATATACAATATGGTATAGTATATTGGACCAAGTTTGGACTTTGACAATAAACATTCCACTGGATTGTTGGTGTAATACTTGATCTTACTTTGCTGAAATAGGGTGATAATGTCAAAGTCCTTTCATGTGTAGCCTAGAAGTTGCATAGTCTTAGACTTTCAGCCTAGTGGGTGTCACAGCTGAGAAGTAGTCGTAGACAGAAATGCTGGTTCTGTATTCATGGAAAACAGGAGATGCTGTAATATCTGAAGCTAAGGTGGGAACCATCATCTTTGGCTTTTTTGCTTCATTGTTGTTGTTTTTTTCTAACACAAGCACCAAGTATAACACTGTCATGCTTGCACAATTTGGTATTTTCAAATTACACAGTAGGCTACCTGAGAGACACTCATGCTTGAAGAAACTCCCTGTAACATCAGTACTATTACTGATGTTGAGCTATAACTTTGGAAAATATTAAACCATAATTTCAAAGCATAATTATTATTTTTAAAGGTGGCTGTAGTTATCTGGGATCCTTAGCTGAGTGACGGGCTTGATAACAATTCCTGTTTTGAAGCGCAATATAGATATTTTTGTAGTATCTACTATATAGTAAAAGATCAACTGGTAGACTTGCTGTTTTAATCTTTACAGAGGGAAATGTGTGAAGAAAAGAAGTACTAAGTAACCCTGTTTTTATTTTCTGTTGAGATCAAGGTGTGCCATTCATAAACAACATGACTAGGACCGTCTTTCTCTTCCACTGACACGTTATTTATCCTTCAGAAAGTTAGTTTATGTCAGTGCCTTTTTTATTTGTGAAAGTGATAAAAATCTAATAGTTTGCTAGATTTAGTACAGTATAATTTACCAGTGAAAAGAACTGTAAGTTACATTACACTTTATTTCTCTGTCATTTTTCTTTTGTTGAACGTAATAATTTCACATGTGTGTTTTGGTTTTCTTCAGGCACTTGTAAAACTCTTCTCAGGACGTAAACCTATGTTGTACAGTTTTCAGACTTCTTTACCACGATTGCCAGTTCCAGCTGTTAAAGACACAATCAATAGGGTGTGTACATTCATTAATTCATTTTCTTCAGTAACACGGAATCCATATTTAGATGTACTTGTGGGTTTTTTTTGCCATGTCTTATAAAAGTATTGCATGGTGGTATTAATATAGTGTAATGGATTAAAACTTCCACATAGAAGTTAAAATAAAGGGTATACAAACCAATGATACTGGTGGCAATTTGAAGCTGGCTAACTCATATTGGATGATGTGATGTCTGTTGATGTAAGACTATGTAATAAAGTGTGATTTCCAAGGCTTCTGAAACATTGGTTTTGTTACCTTCTGCAGCTTGAACATATAAATGTGTGTTTTATGACACAAAACCTTATAGCAAAGTGTGTAAGTAGGGACAGTATGTCAGAGAAACTGAAGGCTTGATTTTTAGAGACTAAAAAAATCTCTGCCTGATACTGAAGAAGCAGTATGTCTTCGCCTCTTAAGTGGAAAAATCTATCTTTAGAAAAGTGACTTCCACTTGTGATTTGCTGACAAATGTGTGGAAAAAGATCTCTTTTTTTTTCATTTGCAGGCAGATGTTTAGAAGAGTGTATACTCTAACAACATAGTATTTGCAGCCTTATGAATTTGAGTCTGGATAATCTTTGTCTACTGTTCAAATGCTTTGCGTAGGAATGGCAAGAAGCTACATATTAGTTACCAATACAGATGCTGATTGTTTTCCTGTATTCTAGTATCTGGAATCAGTTCAGCCACTTATGGATGATGAAGAGTTCAGAAGAATGGAGGGTCTTGCCAAAGATTTTGCATTTAATTTGGGGCCAAGGCTTCAGTGGTATTTGAAATTAAAATCCTGGTGGGCCACAAACTATGTGAGTAGATAAATAGGGGCCTCAATCGTTCAAATGACGTAACTTAATTTGTTCCCTGTTGCCTTTTTTGGCTTAACTTTCTTTCTTAAATGTAAAAGAAGGCAGTTGAAACTGCCTAATATTTTTGTAAAGTGCATCAGAGACCAACTGATTTACACAGAAATGATTTGTGATTTTGTAAACAAGCAGTGTGGTGAATGGAATTTGAAAGCATGAATCCTCATTTTGTGTTTGTTATTCTGGAGCCGGTGACTTAGCTTTTGCTAAGTGAGAACTGTAATATAATTCCTTCCTGATATATTATCTAACATCTAGCTATACCCAGTAGCCTAAGCTGAGCTACAGTGTCCTGGCAAAGGCAGCAAAACATTCAGGAGATCTGATACATTTTAAATATTAACTGAAGATGATGACTTCTTCAGAAGCTTATCAGAGAGTTACAGCTGAATTTAATTTAATTATCTCACCCCTTTTTTGCTGTTTTCCCTAACATTTAACACGAATTAGGTTTTGTTTGTCTTTTTTCAAGTAGGGGGGCAAGCTAACAAACTGTGGAAATGATGAGATTTTACTGCTTTTGTTTTCCTTCCCGCTACAGGTTAGTGATTGGTGGGAAGAATATATCTACCTTAGAGGACGTGGACCGATTATGGTTAATAGTAACTATTTTGCAATGGTAGGTAAATACTGTAAACACATTATGTGTCAAAGCAGGATTGTAAAATTTCTGCCGGGTATCTTATTTCGTGATATCTTTCTGTTTAGAAATCCATTGCCACTGAGTACCTGACCTTTCTTTTTCTTTCTGCTAGTATAACCTGCAGCCAATGTCTTCAAGTACAGTGTTATCTTAATAATAAACTTAGCACATCTCTCACTTAGGCAAACTCATGCACTAATGACTTAGACTTAGTTTTGTGCTTACTGCAACCAGCAGTCTTTCAAAAGCTCCATGTAAAACTTCATGGGTAACACAATTCAAGGTGTGTATTCATATTTGCAAATGTCTGTATGGGAAGTAAAATTGTAAAAGACCCTAAAATTAAAATCAGAAAGAGGGAATAATGTAATTCTGGATTCAAGTTTTAAGTAGCATTATCTGTTCTACTGGGATGATTAACAGCTATCGTATGTTTTAGGACTGATGCTGTTTAAGGAGATTGTGACTGAAGAAATTTAAGTCATCAACTCACTGCACTAGTGCACTTCATATGTTTTAAAGCCTTTTTGATGTTGACCAGAATAAACTTTAAGAATGTGGATGAGAAGTACTATCGGTATTTTTTTCTTTTTTTTAAATGTAGTCTGGTAATCATTAACTTATGATTCTTATGTACTTTACAGGACTTTCTTTATTTATCTCCCACAACCCTGCAGGCAGCTAGAGCTGGTAATGTTATCCATGCCATCCTGCTCTATCGGAAAAAGCTGGACAGACAAGAAATCAAGCCAGTATGTATATCAGTTTAAATGGCTTTTGATCTTTTTCCAGCACAGTCTGTAAGAAGTTGATCAGTTTTCAGAATGGGAGAGGAGAGGAATGTCTTACTGTCAGAACTACATGTAAGATGCAACTAAACTTGTGGTCCCAAACATCTTGGTTATCACTTCAATTGCACATGGGCAGAAACTACCGACTATCAAAAATACAGGGTTCTGTCATGCCAGCTAATTGCAGTATTTGAAATTAACGTGTGTACTTGATCTCAAAGGTCTTTTCCAACCTAAATGATTCTATGATTCTATTTGCCCAAAAGACAAATAAAGGCTTGTACTTGAATATGTTAAGTATTCTGTATAACATGTTATTGGTATGTGCTAAGCATGTAATGGTACTTTTGAGCCACTGAAGTCTGAAAGGTCTGTGGTATAGTGTAATGCGAACACAAGGGGTGGTTGGGACAAAGGCCTGGACCTTGAGGCCAAGAGTGGGCCAGTGGCAGCCCACCATACTTACAGATGGCGATAAAATCCTGTGTTGCACTAATTTCTAGGTAGCAAAGATAGGCAAGGTGAATCCCATTCTGAATTTCTGTTCTGTCCAGTGGCTATGTGTTGTAGTGAACTAATATTGTGGAAACAATTAAATAGTTTTGTTGAAGGTTATGGCAGGGATGTGATGTAATTACAAATCTGAGAAATGTGAACTTTTGTTCCTACACAGCCAGAAATAGCTTTAAAAGAAGAAATTAAGGGGTAATGCATTTTTCACATATAAGTTTTGCATCCGGACCGGCCATTGAGAGCTCTTTGGATTTCAGATGCTTGCTAGCTTCAGTCATCCCTCCTGAAGGGTGAGATTTTGGTAGCAGGGTAAAAAACTACAGCTACTGGAATGTTAGTGGAATCTTTCACATGTAGTTCAAGGAAAGACAATGAAAAGGGTAGGGGGGGAAACCCCCGAGTTCATGTATTATAAATTGTACTGTTCTACAGCCTGTCTTTAACCAGGTCCTGTTTTGTTTTCCTTTTTAATTTGCTAATTGTATATGAAAAATTACATTTTAATGTACACCTGCGGCACAGATTCTTCTGATGGGATCTACTGTTCCACTCTGCTCAGCTCAGTGGGAACGGATGTTTAATACCTCCCGTATCCCAGGAGAGGAATCAGGTAAGCCAGGCCAGGCAAGGAGAATAAATATCTTAATGGAACTCAGGTTTTGGGATATTTTCTGCTAAAATAATGTTTTTCCAGATAATGATCTGACAGACACAAGGACACATCAATACTGTGTTCTGATACTCAGGAAGTAATGAATTGCTGTAGAGTGCATAGATGTTTTTCCTTTTAGGGTGATTTTGAAACTTCTTCAGTGTTTTTTGTCTTTTCCTTTACTTAAATTAAAAACTAACTTCAACAAACTGTTGTCTGCCCTGTGTTTTTAATTTATAAACAACCTTTACTTTTCTCCATTCTACTCTTTCATGATCTTTTGATATCCAACTTTTTATCTTTGTAGAAGTTGTGTTCTCTTATCTCAACCATTTTAAAATCTTTTGCTTGCTTGACTTTCCCTTTTTCCTTTCAGCTTATGATTCACAACAACATCCCAATGTGGTGTTCTCAATATGAACATAAGTTCAACACTAATTGTTTAGAGGCAGGTACAGTCTTAGTCCTGTCAAGGTTTTTAATGCCACGGTTTCCTTGACCTTTTATGTGCACTGTAAGATATCAGCTAAGAGAAATCACCTGTAATAAGGACTGTGTCCAAAACTTTCTCTGTAACACATTAAGAAAATATATACTCTGGGTTTCATTAGTTCCTGCCCTGCCCTAACTCCCAGCAATGGTTTGATTATCCTAAGTTATGAGTAACTAAGTTTTCGCATTTTAATGTTGAAGAGGGGTGTACTTGTTGACTTACAGTATGGTCATTTTCACCTGAGTCTGTTCCTGCAACTTCTGCTTATTGTGGGAGACTAAAGATATGTTTACATGATCACAAGCAATCATGTTAGCTAAGTAAAAAAAAAAAAAAAAATTTATCTGTAAATGACAGTTCATATCCACTTTCTCACTTTAGGTCTACATTGCATGCATTCATTAACACTGCCTATAGACATAAAAGCATTTCAGTTTAGTCATTGGCAGACCTTTGATAAATTGTTTGTTGTTGTATCTCAGCATAAAAATATAATATTTTTTTGATGGTCAGTACATCATCCAAGATCTTGAGGCTGATTCTTTTCCATATGGTGTTATTTTTCTAAAGGTAATGTATCCCTAAAGCTTCATCATGGATTTCTCCTGAGGGTAGCCTCCAAAGCTCTCCATCAGCTTATCCTAAATTTTCCAGACTCAAGCTGGTTTTTATGATCTTAATATTAAAGTGGCTTTTTTGTTGGTGTTTGGTTGGGTCTCCCCCCCGCCCCCCGAATTTTGTAACTGTAAAAGGAGGCAAATTGCATCTAGAAATACTAATGTTTGTAGTCAGCAGGTGGAAGAAAACGTTGCTATTCATTTTCTTGTTCTTTGAGAAGCAAACTAATAATTTCACAGCAGATTTGAGTGGAGACTTCTGTTGTTGTGTTTTCTACAAAAGCTTAAGCTATATCTAGGTTTCTCTGATCTGGTTATATGCTGAAGAGCCTCTTAGAACTGAGTTCACATGTTTATCCAACACTGCATCATTGTGGCAGCATCAGAATGAAATACAACATTTGGCAGAGTTATCCTGACAGTCATAATTAGTACAGAGGACAATTCACTAGGAATTTGGAATGCAAGGGGTCATTGGTTAGTCACCTCCATTGGGAATGTGTGTATGGGCTGTTACTTGAAGATAGGATTTTTTTTTAACTTTCATTGATATTTGTAACTCACTTTTATGTTTCAAGCTGCCTTTGAGCATGTTAGTCCCACTCAACTGCAGAACAAAAACCATAAAGTTTCTGAACAGACACAGGGATGTCCCTGCTTTTCTCTGCTGGAGGTCTGACATTTGCTGTACTGTGTGAAGTTGGATAAGTGGGGGAAGTGGCATTGGCTAGTGGATAAAGCAGTAGGTGCATATGTCAGATAAGAATTTTACTCTCAGTTCTGCTGCTGGCCTCTGGTAGATTACTGAGGAATTATTTCCCAGCTATGCCTCAGCTTCCTTTATCTGCAAAATGGAGAAAAACATATCCCTGATGCGATTACCCCCTATTAATGAACTAGTAGCTGAAGTAGACTACCAAGTTTTAAAATCTCTATTAGACAACTGTAGTGTATGAGCTATTGTTTTTTAGAATATTTCAAGTACTGAAAGTGCTACCCTTGCCCTTTCCGTGTCCTCAATAAAATAAAACGTATGAACTGTTTGCATTTAGCTTAGGATTTCGGATTCTCTTAGTCTGAAATGAGTTTTGCACAAAAATGTGGAAATGGCCTATTCTAACTATAACACCTGATTAAAATACATTCTATATATCTTAATGGCTCTCCTCAGTTTCTCCAGCTTAAAGTCTTTCAAATTACAGTCAGCATCATAAAATTACCTTATTTTCCTCCTAAGCACTTCACATTTCCTATTTTACTACTTCAGTTTTTCATTGTTTCTGTTTTTCTAAAGGGAAAACAACTGTCATTCTGTATCTAGGTGAATGAGTTAGACATTTTTCCCAGATTTTCATGAGTGGCTTGATTTCTTGCCCCCTGATTTCAATTATATTTTAAGTATTTTAGGTATGTTACAGTTCCTAAAGGAGCAGCATATTAAAAAAAAAAAAAAAATTGTGGCATGTCTTCATGTTAATTGGTAGTAAAATCTTAATGAACATCGCATCCTGTCACCTGAGCTGTTGTTTATTCTTCATGTCTTTTAGCAAAACACACTATGGAGTGAACCACGTCTTTTAAGCAGGGAAGATCCTTTATGTCCTTCCACTTCCATATTTTTTAATAGGAAACTCACGCAGCATGTTACATGCATCTTTAGATGTACATAAATGACTTCTTGGACTGGCAAGAAAAAGGAAAGGATCTTTTTGTATTACAACAAATCTGAACTCCAGGTTCATAAATCTGTATTTAGGCCCATAAGAAAGGTGTCTGAAAGGTAATTGCCAGGGCTCAACAATTGTTGTGAAGTCAGTTGTTGACATAGCTGACTAATGATCTCACTTTTGCTTTTTACAGTCAAGAGGTTTTCTTTTTTGTACAGGCACATCATGTATATGAGACAAATACTTGGGGGTGTCCTGACTCAGGTTGGGATTATAGAAGAAGTTACCTCTCTAACAGATTGCTTTGCTGCTTCTTTCTCCCCTCTGTGAGGTTTCTGCTCAATTCACAACCCATTATATTAATGTGCTTCATAGTTGGAGTGATACTTCTGCTAATCTTAGCACTTCTATCACAGGCATCCTGTCTCTGGCAGAAATGCAAAGTGGATAGCTAAAGGCATGATTAGCATACAACTGCTTCTGATCAGTAGATGGAGCATACCTACCAAAACTTTACTGATAGCTGAGAGCACCCAAAGTATAGAACTGTTTTCTGGTACAGTGTTTCTCAGATCTCTCAGAATCGTGACTTTTAGGTTCAGCCCTCATTTTTGACATCTATCTTCACCATCTCTGTAATGGGCCTTTTCAGATTCATAGAAATATAACAGTTCTTTGGGGTAGTGAAGGAATTCAAATAACAGTTTTCATTAAGGGCTTTTCCTTGCTGCTGTAGAAGTCTTCATCTGTGGTTTGATACAGTACCTTTATGACTAGGTTCAGGCTTATTCCCATTAAGCCATATAAATAATAGTGTGGAGAAATTTGTGGCCTATATTTGTGCTTCACTGACTTCCATAGCACTGCACTTTTTGGCCATAGATGGAGTATTCACTCTGTATCTGCCAGGATAAATGTGAACAAAAGCCTATGGAACTAAATTTGGGCTCTTTTAAGACTCCCCCACAGATTGTACCATGAGTTGTCTAGCACTTGAATGCAGATGATTTAAAAGTACCTTTCATCAGACTCATCTAGCGTGTTCTTTTGCTGACTGCTTATTCAGACTACACTACTAGTGCTCACTTTTCAGATACAGAAATACAGATTTACTTGCTTAATATTGGCCTCCAGTGTGGAAACTGGTGGTGCTATATATGCGAGTTGCTATGAGATCTGGGTATTTGACTGTTTCATGCAGGAATCTGTGCTGAAATAACATGGGGGAGCAGTTTATTCCACACTATTTATTATTTTGTTAAAATAAACAAGCTGTGGCTAACTGGTAGTGCATGCAGTAGGCATTTGATGTTACTTAGTGCATTAGTGTTTTGAGACTTCAGCTTTGTTTTCACATAAGTGATTGCAATTCTAGATACTCTGCAGCATGTGAAAGACAGCAAACACATTGTTGTGTATCATAAGGGCCGTTACTTCAAAGTGTGGCTGTACCATGATGGTAGACTGTTGAAGCCCCGAGAAATTGAACAGCAGATGCAAAGAATTCTTGATGATGATTCAGAGCCTCAGGCTGGTGAAGAGAAACTAGCAGCTCTTACTGCAGGAGATAGGTATGATGGTTACTATTTTTTAAATTAACTTGAACATTTAGAAATAGTTGCATAACATACTAATTGAATATTGGCTTTGGAATTTTACAATAGTCTGCAGGCAGTTGATTATACTTTGATTACTGGTTTTGTATATTGCTGACATGTAACAGCTCATCAGTCATTTGTAACTACATGGAGTTAAAAGTAATTTTGCAGTGGCAACCCTGTATACAGATTGCCTATACTTAGCTGGAGAAGTTTGGTGAATTGTGGTTATCATAAGAGTTTTATATGTACTGTGGGGTTCACTGGCATTTTAAAGAATATCTTAAAAAATTAAGATTGGGAATGTGAATTCAGTAACTGTTACTCCACATTCATGACTTGCACCTAGAAAATAAAGCAGTACGTACTCGGTTCTAGGTGCAAGATCATTGAATTAAATTAAATTGTGACAAACTTAGTTCAATCTGTCTAGTTGTTTTTGAACAAGGGAGAGAAAGACCTGTGGATTTTAAAATACTTTCTTAGTATGAGTCCTTCCTTTTTCTCACTTTCTGCTTTAAAACAAACTGAAATATTTTTTTCATTGGGAAAACCACATTAATTTATAAATAAATGTTGCACAACTATACAGAAATCACATTGTTCAGGACTTCTTTAACTTCAGATCTGTTTCAGGCGTTTACTATGGAGCTTTTTATTGACAATTGTCCAGACTCTTAGATTTAGGTGTTATAACAATGGATGTTAATATCTGTTGATTGTTTTCATTATTATTACTATTTGCATCTTTCATATAATAGATATTTTAATTTGTTCAGTTATAAACGTAGATGAACTATGCTTATATGTATTGCATGCTGCAGAAATGTGACTTTCTGAGGATTAAGCTTCGCATATGTGTAATGATATGTTGAACTGGTTTCTAGGATTATACTGGACATGTATTTTGAGACCTTTTCACTGCTGCTATTGTTTAAATGCAATGAAAGCAGTTGCTTCAAATTTGATAAAAGTAGGAGGAATGTCTTGTAGTGATCTTAAGGGTGATGAAACAATGACAAATTCACATAATCTGGCTATAAACCAAATTCTTTTTGCAGAGTACCATGGGCTAAAGCTCGACGGGCTTATTTTAACTGTGGAAAGAACAAACAGTCCTTAGATGCTGTTGAAAAAGCAGCATTTTTTGTGACATTGGATGACAGCGAGCAAGGGTACAGGAAAGAAGATCCGGTGAGGTCACTGGATGCGTATGCAAAATCCTTAATACATGGCAGATGTTATGACAGGTATAGTATTGACTCTGTGGAAAATGCCTTCTCTTTTTTAGAATTTCACCGATTCACATGGCTAATACATATGAATTAGTGACTTATAAGCTGATAAATTTCATAGAATCACAGAATGGTTTGGGTTGGAAGGGACCTTCAAAGATCATCTAGTCCACCCCCCTTGCCATGGGCAGGGACATCTTTCACTGTATCAGATTGCTTAAAGCCCTGTCCAGCCTGACTTTGAACACTTCCAATGATGGGGCATCCACAACTTCTCTGGGCAACCTGTTCCAGTGTCTAAGCACCCTCATCGTAAAAAAAAATTTCTCCCTTATGATGAATCTAAATCTACCCTCTTTCAGTTTATAACCATTGCCCCTTTTCCTGCTACTATGGGCCCTGCTAAAGAAGTCTTTTCTTCTAAGCCCTCTATATATTGAAAGGCCACAAGAAGGTGTCCCAGAGCCTCTTCTTCTCCAGACTGAAGAACTACAACTCTCAGCTTTTCTTCATTGGAGAGGTGTTCCAGCCCTCTGACCATTTTCATGGCCCTCCCCTGGAACTGTTCTAACAGGTCTGTGTCTTGTACTGGGAACCCCAGAGCTGGATACAGTACTCCAGGTGGGGTGTCATAAGAGCAGAGTAGAGGGTCAGAATTGCATCCCCTCGACCTCCTGGCCATGCTGCTTCTTATGCAGCCTAGGATATGATTGGATTTCTGGGCTGTAGGCACACATTGCCAGCTCATGTCCAATTTTTCATTCACCAGTACCCCAAGTCCTTTTCTGCAGGGCTGCTCAATCCATTTATCCCTCAGCCTATTGATACTGCGGATTGCCCTGACCCAAGTGCAGGACCTTGCACTTGGCTTTGTTGAACTTCATGAGATTCAAATTTATGTCTATTTATTTAAATAAACTATTATTTTTTTTTAAAAAAAGCTAAGAACTAGTGCATTTGAATGTGAATTTGAGAGGTGAAGTTATAGTACAAAGCTGCTTTTGAAATGTACGAAAACATAAGGATATCTTAACTTCTTTTGTAGGTGGTTTGATAAAACATTCACTCTTATAGTATTCAAAAATGGCAGAATGGGTCTGAATGCAGAGCATTCTTGGGCAGATGCTCCTATTGTTGGACACCTGTGGGAGGTAGGTGTTTAGTACAAAAAGCTAATGCAAAAGATAATGTGATATGGTCCATACAACAGTCCTGAAAATCAGCAGTTACTTCCAATCCCTTGCATTAATGTTGCTGATGAGTGATTATAGGCCTGTGGCTACAGCAACTGTAGAATTTTTAAAAAAGCCCTTTGCTTAAAAGAAAAGGTTGCTGTCCTTTAAATTAAAGGTCTTTATTACATTTTTATGATCATAGATGTCTTCACAGAAAAGTGATGCAGCTCCCCATCTAATTTGTTTATAATATTCTAAATCCATAGATTGTTGCCTTTTTGATACAGCATTGTATTTTGCGTATATACATGCACCTGAAGCACTTAAGCTTTCTTGAGCTATAAAAATCCCACACTTACTTTCACAATTTAAAGAAATGGTACAGAGTTTAACTTTTCCTCTAAGCCATTGTTTGATGAGTTGCAGATTGATATGCTGTTTAAATTATCTCTTGTATTTATTTGCAATGCATGGAGCACTTTTTGTCAGGTTTGTTCATCATGAGCTTAGTTTATTGCTTGAAATCCTATTTGATTTTTTTCTTTTTCTTTTTGAAGCTTAAACCCCTAAACAATTAGATGACTCAATCACTCAGAACTACTTCATAAACATTAGCTAATTCTGATTTCATTATGTATTTGTGCAAATGGGCCTTGGGTCTGACTGGTGCCCCAAGTAATTTCCTAATTTTATTATATAAGTGTTTCCATGTGTGTAAGAACAAAAAATGTTCACTGCATTCTCTAACCAGGGAAGAAGGCCAAACTGATTTGAGTTTGCCAAGTCAATGCAGTTTACACTAGCTCAATGGAAAAGAGTAACTTTGTTTTCTTTTATTGAATGATGTTATATGCTTTAGTTCATATCTCTGTACTTACTGTTAGTTGGTTCATTTCCTTCAAGAATTAAATGACTAAAATAAATTAAGTAGGAGTTAATTTCCTGAAAAGTTATGTTGTTAGCTCTTTATAGATTATCTAATTTTAGAATAGAATAAATTAAGCTTTATTTCATAGTTGAGAATAGAAAGAGATTATTTCTATAGAATCTAGAAATTTCTATTTTCATAGAAAGAGATTAGAAATATATATGTAGAACATGCAATAGATTTTTGTCAAGCGTTTTCTTTCCATATTAAGCAGATTCAATTTTTTTTTTTTTTTTTACATTGAGAATGTTGTTTGAAATCTTGTAAGACAGAGCCTTTTTTGTCTGTTGTTCAAGTTGTATTGTTCCTCTTGGAAACATTCTACTTGCCCATCCAAGAGTTCTAGTGCACTTATAAAATGAACTGCAATTTTAAGTGGGATGCAAATCTTAAAAATTATTAAATTCTTGCAGGGATATGCAATTACTCTGAAAAAAAATGTTTCTTGATGAACAAGTTTTGACAGATAACAAACTTGCAGAAATTCTCTAGAATCTAGATTGAACAAAAGTTGTGAAATCTAAGACTCTGACTGACATTTTTTTTGTACTACTGGTAAGTTTGAGGTGGGTTTTTAATTGAAGTATTTTGATTAATTCAGTAGTATCTAAAACAAATGCACCAATGTAATTGAATAGGTGTTTGTGCATACCTGGTATTCTTCCCACTTAGAACATGAGTAAAATTGCCTTAAAATAAGAGGTAAAACAGAGGGCTTCTCTTACAGCTGTTTTCAGTATTTGGAAATGGATTGTATATTGAATTTCACTATGTACTGAAAATGGGTTATATTGATTTCACAATGAAATCCTAATTCCTCAGCAGTATGTAACATGTTGCAATTCTGAAGAAGTATCATTCTTTGCAGAATGTAATGGCAACTGAGTATCTTGAACTGGGCTATTCAGAAGATGGGCATTGCAAAGGAGATACCAATCAAAATATTCCTATTCCTACCAAACTACAGTGGGAAATTCCAGAAGAAGTAAGTATAGAACAGCTAGTGGTTTGAGGAAGAAGCTCCTCTTTTCCTGAGCAGTCAAATCATTTAAGTAATACTGATAACCCTATAAATCAGCTTTTAAATTCCTTTGAGTCCTGTAAGATGTGCATTTCATGTATGGACATTACTGAGTTTACTTAAAAAGATATCAGGGTTTTTTAACATCACTCTTTAAAAATTCTGGCCAGGAAATGTCAACTTTTTACTAGGAACTTCCTTGGCTGGTGACATGTCAAAAATAAGTGGACACCTATTTTAAATAGTAACTGTATTAAAATTAAGTTTAAGTTGCTGAGGTTTCATTACAATTGTCATAATAAATGCTCTTGCATAATAGTTCTTTGAGATTAGCTGCCTTTTTGTGTTCAAAATTCTGTGTACATGTCTAATAAGGTTTCATATTTTTGCCTGAGTTCAAGGCAAACTGCCATCACCTATTTGGATTTTAATTTTGAATAAAAAGTTAATGGTTGGTGATATGTTTAATTCGGCATGTATGGCAGATTGGAAGCCACACAACTATTGTCATTCTGTCTCTGTGGGTCATTCATTTATGTTCTCGTGATCTGAACAGTCTTAATGCTGGTGTTTTCTTTTAAAGTGTAATTTTTGGACTCCAGATGACTTATTTTTATTAGCTTTTTGCATTTTAACTTTCTGGCAAAGATAGCTTCTCCTCTTTCTCCAAAGGGAGATTATTTAGGAAACGATGTTCCTGGCATGCATAAATGCAGCATTACCTATTTATCAATTAAAAATACTTGCACTTTTTCAACAGTTCTCTCAAATGCCATCAGATGCATGCATATGCACATATGTGCATAATTTATTTATTTATTTTAGTGTCAAGAAGTGATTGAGAGATCTCTGAGCACTGCCATAGCTCTGGCAGATGATGTGGACTTCCATTCATTTTTCTTTGATGCTTTTGGGAAGGGACTAATAAAGAAAGCAAAAACCAGCCCTGATGCCTTCGTGCAACTTGCCCTGCAGCTTGCTCACTATCGGGTAAGAAGAACTGACTATTTCTGGCTTATAGAATCTCATTAAATTGGGTATAGTATGTTTGTAACTACACAGTCACATGTGTTAAAGTACTTTAGAGTAAACTTGCACTGCTTGTGTGAGGTTATTAAAGACATTCAATGGAAATTGGTACAAACCCTAAACATTACTAGCTGGAAATTAATTATCCAATGGTTGGTGTATTGACACTCATGCAGTTTTTTCTCTTCTGCTTAGTTGGTCTATCCCTAGGCATTTTGAACTTGAAAGAAGTAGATACGAAACTTAAATTACCTGTGTTTACATTGTAAACAACGTTACACTCATGTTTTTGTTTGGAGTCGCCCTTAATTCAGTAGTCATGGACACTCCCTAATAGGATTAACAGAAATGCCTGCCTGTGTTTTCTTGTGCTAGTTCACCGTTAATATAACATGCTTTCAGAAAACACCAGTGCAGCAACATGCATGTTTTTCATTTTGCTTTCTATTTGTCACTGAGATACTGTTCTACTTTTTTTTTTTTTAAAGTAGTTCCAAATGTTTTTTCAAAGCATCCAGATTTCCTGGCTGTTATCACCACTTACAGTCTTTCTTACTATTGGTTAGGGTAGCTACATGTCAAATAGTTTGATTACCCACTCACCTCTTATTTTGAACACCCATCCTCTTAATCTAAAACTGAACAGACTTTCATGAGCTGTTCTGATGTATATTTCAGACAATTAGAGTTGCTAACATGTTAGATAAGCTTCTATCATTTGGCAACTTTTGATCTATAGGTTGTGCACATCTACAGGAAATATGAAAACCACACTTCCTGGAATTTGCAGGCTGTTTTCAGTTCTCACATTCTTGAAAATCCCCACACTGGTATGCATCTCCATGCTATTAAACTTTTAACTGAAAATACTTCTAAGGTTGTTACAGTTTTCTCTATTACTTACCACAGCTGTGTTAATTAGGAAGCCACTGAACTTTCAAATAGGGTTTTGATAGCCTTTAAATCAGCTTCTGAAGAAGACTGAATATAAAACGCAGAGGGTAGTCTTTGCTAGTTTGGTTGTTCTATTAGCGTTTATCAAATCCTGCTACTAATCTTATTTTTGCCTTTATAATCTTAGGTAAGACTGGTGGGCTACTAAAAACTTATGTTGACTTTAATTTGTGGAGTGATTCATATCCTGTGTGCTTGCTTTGAACTGTTGATTAAGAAAGAGTGGCTAAGTCTGGCTAAACCTTTAATTCTTATTTTTCCCTTTTCAAGGACATGGGAAAATTTTCTTTAACATATGAAGCCTCTATGACACGCTTGTTCAGAGAAGGCAGGACCGAAACTGTTCGTTCATGTACTGTTGAATCATGTAATTTTGTTCGAACCATGGAAGACCCAACTGAAAGTGTAAGTTCACGGTGTTGTTGCCTTATACAATCCATAAGGTACATGAGTTATCACTGGATATTCGTACAAGTTCCCAAATAGTTTTTAAACACTTAGTGATGCCTTTTGTTTTTTAGCAAGGAAGTGCAGCATAAGGTAATCGTCCACATTTTCTGTCAATGTGGCAGAAATTCAAGGCTGTATCAAAAGAGAATGGCAGTAACTTAGCCAATATGCCATTTTTTTGCAGTTCTTGAACTCCAGAAAACTGAGATTACTTGTAAAACTCAAACATAGATTTGTAAAACAAATAATCTCATGCCAGTTAGGCTTTTCTTTGTGATAGGGAAACAAGTATTATTCACAGGAAATAAGTAGTTGCTCTTACATGTTGATTTCAATGGGCTTTTTAATCTTTCTTGTGATGTTTTGATTAGCAAACAAAGGAAGCCTGGTCTAGGGGAAAACTTCTTGGTTTGGAAAACTTGCACAAAACTGGTTAAAATATTTGCTGTCAAAGTGCAAGGGTGGAGGATGGTTGTCTTGAAGGCTGTCTGTTCTTTAATCCACTGCTAGTCACAGTTTTCACAGATACAGCTTAGAGCTGATGAAATAAATCATTACATTTGCAGGTTTTGCTAAGCTGAAGGGGATTTCCATTTCCTCAGAGTCAATAAAAATTTGACATGAGAAAAAGGATTTTGTTAAATAGGAATGTACTCAAGGTATTGCATTGAGGCCTGAGCAACAGCTGCATGGGTAGAATTTCTAATAAAAAAGATCTAGGACTGTAATCAGTAGATGAACACTTACATAGCACATTCAGTGCTCTGCCATTGGGAAAAATGAGCCCTCACTTTAGTTAGTCTTGCCCTTTATTTTTAGTAGTCTTTTGTCTCTGCAATTTTTTCCTAGTACAGCATTAGCTGGGGTGGTGTGTCCAGTTTTGGATACCACTCTTGAGGTATGGATGGATTGGAGAGAGTCGAAAGGAGAGCAAGAAGGATGGTTAGAAACCTCTGAAGAGTATCTGTGAGGAGAGTTTGAACTTAATTATTCTTGTCTAGTCTAAAGAAGAGAGACCACTGTGGAAGAGGTAGGGAGCCTGGTTGTGCTCAAGAGGATAAAAAGGCTGATGCAGAGATGATGGGAACAATCTGTTCTCTGTCCCAAGAAGTAATGGACTTAAATTGCAGAAAGAAACATGTTAGGGAAACTTTTTCTGCTAGTAAGAATAGTGAGTAAGGAGGGAAATAAATAGCGAGTAAGGAGGGAAATAATGAGAAGCCTGAAACAGATTACTTGGGGATGTTGTTTTTTCACTTTGAAAATTTTTAAAAGTAAGTTACGTAATGGTCCTTCAAGAAGGGGTTTTAGTTGATCACATCTTAGGGCAGAGAAATCCAGGATGAACAGTTGAGGTTTTTCTAGCCCCATGATACTATCAATAAATCTTACAGCAAGAAAATAGATGCACAGAGAAAGAGAGAAACTTTTTTCTCTCTTTCTGGCAGTTCTATGTAGGTAAAATCCCCCATGATTTCTCAATATGCTGTGCTGGGAGCTGTGATCAGACCAGTGCAAGTCTGGAAATCCAGCTGTGTCAACATATCATACCTAACTGTATGGCACAGCTACTGTACAACTACCCTTGTGTATAGAAAGTAATTTTAACGTAGTCCTAATGTCAGAATTAACTGCTGTTACATCTCTGCAGTTAACACCTGCATTTTTGTTAAAGGAATAAGGTAGCCCCATACGTGGCAAGATCATATATGTATATAGCAGACTTCATTCTGCTCACTTTTTTTTTTATGGTTACTACAAACATGATTCTTTTTCAGACTTGTTGACTCATTACTGCCCTTCATCTGGAATGATCCTTCACACAGCAGAGGAACCCTGTCTTCATAATGCAATTTTTAGTTTTTATGTGTTATGAAAATTCTAATATATGCATTTATATATTATTTTTAAAAGAGTTGTCTGCCTTTACTGCTTGCTTCTATTTTTCTCCGGGTTTTTCCTTAAAATTTTTCCTGAGCACTTGTATCCTGCATGGACTATCCACAAAGCTTTACTCCTGCAGGCCAATGGTAGGCATGCTTAGCATGACTGCAAGTGATATATTAGTTTCTCATGCTGAGGGCAAATAGGCTGCTCACTCTGTCCCACACAAATGGTGTAAAATGCAGTGATACTGGAGATAAGAAGTGACAGGTTGCCATATAATCAGTGTTTTGCATTCCACATTATAAAGTCTTAACAGAATGGCTAAGTGTTTTGAACAGACACTTTCTTTCAGCCCTTGCAACATTCATACAGTGTTCATAGAATCATAGAATATCTTGAGTTGGAAGGGACCCATAAGGATCATTGAGTCCAACTCCCTGCTCCTCCCAGGACTACCTAAAATTAAACCTTATGACTAAGAGCGACATCCAGACACTCCTTGAATTCTGACAGGCTTGGTGCCCTGGCCACTTCCCTGGGGAGCCTGTTCTAGGGATCAAGCACCCTGTCAGTGAAGAACCTTTTCCTAATGTCCAATCT